GTTTGTGGGTTTGGCCCCACATCAGGCTCTAGGCTAATAGTGTGGAGCTGCGTGGGATTCCCTTTCTCTCTCTCCTGCCCTTCCCCTGCTCGTGCTCTGTCTCTCCCTCTCAAAATAAATAAACATTTAAAAAAACCTTAGATATTGAATGTTTTGGTGAAAAGGCTATTATTCAACCAGGTCTCCCAATTCCCTGTTAATGGCTTATTTTAGTATACTGGTGTTTTCATTCTGTCCTCTGCAGGACCGCATGGTTTCCTCAAGCTTCAAGGCAATATGTGCATGTGTGTGTAAGTGGAAAAGACATAGAAGGATGTCCACCTAGTGAAATATTCCCCACTTCCACTTCAAGCAGAGGAGAAGGGGAACTCCAATGTATTTTCTGTATTTGGCCTCCATGTTATCGCATTAAAAGACTTATCTGGCTTAAAAGTGATGAAAAAACATTGCATTATACTATTTTGCTTCTCATAATCATTGCATTTGGCCTTTTCTGTAATCAAGGCAAATTCTGGAAATACTCAAGGATTCTTTTAGAAATATAAGCATTCTTCAGTGCAACAAAAATTACTCCAACTTGCCAATCTCATTTAATATTGTACCTAGTAATAATACTATCTCATAATGTTTTGTACATAGTTAATAGGCTTCATTTTCTCATACAAAGGGTAAATTGTAAAAAGTCATTCTTTCTAAAACAAACCTGATGTTTTAGAAACATTGATATTTAGAAAATGATGTACTATCTAAATAAATCATGACAAATATTATAGCTATAGCTTCTTCTTTACCATTAAGAAGGTGAAGTATAGTGACGTATCTTTTCACATCATAAAGACAGAAAATTAATGTAACAAATATTTATCATGTTCTTTTTGTATGTTCAGCACCATGAAAAATAAGACTAGTTCACCTCTAAGAGACGAATTCATACTCTATCTGGAAAGACACCGAAAAACAAAAGTAATGCAACACTATTAGTAAAGTATAAAGATAAAAAGAGGAGAGAACTATGGAGCCCAGAAAACGGTGTATAGGTTAGTCTAGGGGTTTTAGAAAAGGCTTTATTTTAATTTAACTTTATTTTTTATTTTTTAAAATTTACATCCAAATTAGTTAGTATATAGTGAAGCAATGATTTCCGTAGATTCCTTAATGTCCCTTACCCATTTAGCCCATCACCCCTCCCACAACCCCTCCAGCAACCCTCAGTTTGTTCCCCATATTTCTGAGTCTCTTTTGTTTTGTACCCCTCCCTGTTTTATATTATTTTTGTTTCCCTTCCCTTATGTTCATCTGTTTTGTCTCTTAAAGTCCTCATATGAGGGAAGTCATATGATTTTTGTCTTTCTCTAATTTCACTTAGCAAAATACCCTCCAGTTCCATCCACGTAGTTGCAAATGGCAAGATTTCATTCTTTTTGATTGCTGAGTAATACTCCACTGTGTGTGTGTATGTGTGTGTGTGTGTGTGTGTGTGTGTGTGTGTGTACACCACATTTTCTTTATCCATTCATCCATCAATGGACATTTTGGCTCTTTCCATACATTGGCTATTGTTGATAGTGCTGCTATAAGCATGGGGGTGCATTTGTCCCTTCAAAACAGCATACCTGTATCCCTTGGATAAATGCCTAGTAGTGCGATTGCTGGGTTGTAGGGTAGTGCTATTTTTAGTTTTTTGAGGAACCTCCATACTGTTTTCCAGAGTGGCTGCACCAGCTTGCATTCCCAACAGTGCAAAAGAGATCCTCTTTCTTCACATCCTCACCAACATCTGTTGTTGCCTGAGTTGTTAATGTTAGCCATTCTGACAGGTGTAAGGTGGTATCTCATTGTGGTTTTGATTTGTATTTCCCTGATGATGAGTGATGTTGAGCATTTTTTCATGTGTTGGTTGGCTATCTGTATGTCTTCTTTGGAGAAGTGTCTATTCATGTCTTTTGCCCATTTCTTCACTGGATTATTTGTTTTTTGGATGTTGAGTTTGGTAAGTTATTTATAGATTTTGGATACTAACCCTATATCTGATATGTCATTTGCAAATATCTTCTCCCATTCTGTCAGTTGCCTTTTAGTTTTGATGATTGTTTCCTTCGCTGTGTAGAAGCTTTTTATTTTGATGAGGTCCCAGTAGTTCATTTTTGCTTTTGTTTTCCTTGCCTCCGGAGACATGTTGAGTAAGAAATTGCCACAGGCAAGATCAAAGATGTTTTTGCCTGCTTTCTCCTTGAGGATTTTGATGGCTTCCTGTCTTACATTGAGGTCTTTCATCCACTTTGAGTTTATTTTTGTATGTGGTACAAGAAAGTGGTCCAGCTTCATTCTTCCTCATGTTGCTGTCCAATTTTCCCAGCACCACTTGCTGAAGAGACTGTCTTTATTCCATTGGACATTCTTTCCTGCTTTGTCAAAGATTAGTTGCCCATATGTTTGTGGGTCCATTTCTGGGTTCTCTATTCTATTCCATTGATTTGAGTGTCTGTTCTTCTGCCAGCACCATACTGTCTTGACGAGTACAGCTTTGTAGTATAGCTTGAAGTCTGGGATTGGGAGGCCTCCTGCTTTGGTTTTCTTTTTCAAGATTGCTTTGGCTATTCAGGGTCTTTTCTGGTTCCATACAAATTTTAAGATTATTTGTTCTAGTTCTGTGAAGAATGCTGGTGTTACTTTGATAGGGATCACGTTGAATATGTAGATTGCTTTGGGTAGTATCGACATTTTAACAATATTTGTTCTTCCTATCCAGGAGCATGGAATCTTTTTCCATTTTTTGTGACTTCTTCAATTTCTTTCATCAGCTTTCTATGGTTTTCAGTGTATAGATTTTTGACCTATGTCGTTAGATTTATTCCTAGGTATTTTATGGTTTTGGCTGCAACTGTAAATGGGATCGATTCCTTCATTTCTCTTTCTGTCACTTCATTGTTGGTGTACAGGAATGCAACCGATTTCTGTGCATTGATTTTATATCCTGAAACTTTGCTGAATTCATGAGTAAGTTCTAGCAGTTTTTTGGTGGAATCTTTTGGGTTTTCCATATAGAGTTTCATGTCATCTGTGAAGAGTGAAAGTTTGACCTCCTCCTGGCCAATTTGGATGCCTTTTATTTCTTAGTGTTGTCTGATTGCATAGGCTAAGACTTCTAATACTGTTGAATAACAGTGGTGAGAGTGGACATCCCTGTCTTTTTCCTGACCTTAGTTTGTCCCCTGTCTCAGTTTGTCCCCATTGAGGATGATGTTAGCATTGGGTTGCTCACATATGGCTTTTATCATCTCAAGGTATGATCCTTCTATCCCTACTTTCTTGAGGGTTTTTATCAAGAAAGGATGCTGTATTTTGTCAAATGCTTTCTCTGCATCTGTTGAGAGGATCATACGGTTCTTGTCCTTTCTTTTATTGATGTGATGAATCACGTTAATTGTTTTGCGGATATTGAACCAGCCCTGCATCCCTGGTATAAATCCCACTTGGTTGTGGTGAATACTTTTTTTAATGTATTATTGGATCCGGTTGGCTAATACCTTGTTGAGGATTTTTGCGTCCATGTTCATCAGGGAAATTGGTCTATAGTTCTCCTTTTTAGTGGGGTCTCTGTCTGGTTTTGGAATCAGGGTAATGCTGGCTTCATAGAAAGAGTTTGGAAGTTTTCCTTCCATTTCTATTTTTTTGGAACAGTTTCAAGAGAATAGGTGTTACCTCTTCCTTAAATATCTGGTATAATTACCCTGGAAAGCCATCTGGACCTGGACTCTTGTTTTTTGGCAGATTTTTGATTACTAATTCGATTTCCTTACTGGTTATGGGTCTGTTCAAACTTTCTATTTCTTCCTTTTTCAGTTTTGGTAGTGTATATTTTTCTAGGAATTTGTCCATTTCTTCCAGATTGCCCATTTTGTTGACATATAATTGCTCATAATATTCTCTTATTATTGTTTTTATTTCTGTTGTGTTGGTTGTGATTTCTCCTCTTTCATTCTTGATTTTACTTATTTAGGTCTTTTCCTTTTTCTTCTTGATCAAACTGGCTAGTGGTTTATCAATTTTGTTAATTCTTTCAAAGAACCAGCTTCTGGTTTCATTGATCTGTTCTACTGTTTTTTTGGTTTCAATAGCATTGATTTCTGCTGTAATCTTTATTATTTCCTGTCTTCTGCTGGTTTGGGTTTTATTTGCTATTCTTTTTCCTGCTCCTTAAGGCATAAGGTTAGGTTGTGTATCTGAGATCTTTCTTTCTTCTTTAGGAAGGCCTGGATTGCTATACACTCTCTTCTTATGACCACCTTTGCTGCGTCCCAGAGGTTTTGGGTTGTGGTGCTATCATTTTCATTGACTTCCATATACCTTTTAATTTCTTCTTTATCTGCTTGGTTAGCCCATTCATTCTTTAGTAGGATATTCTTTAGTCTCCAAGTATTTGTTACCTTTCCAAATTTTTTTTCTTGTGGTTGATTTCAAGTTTCATAGCACTGTGGTCTGAAAATATGCACGGTATGATCTCAACCTTTTTGTACTTACTTAGGGCTGATTTGCATCCCAGTATATGTCTATTCTGGAGAATGTTCCATGTACACTGGAGAAGAATGTATATTCTACTGCTTTACGATGAAATGTTCTGAATATATTTGTTAAGCCCATCTGGTCCAATGTGTCATTCAAAGCCATTGTTTCCTTGTTGATTTTTTGAATAGATGATCTGTCCAGTGCTGTGAGTGGGGTGTTGAAGTCTCCTACTATTATGGTATTACTATTGATGAGTTTCTTGATGTTTATGATTAATTGATTTATATATTTGGGTTCTTACATTTGGTGCATAAATATTTACAATTGTTAGCTCTTCTTGGTCTATAGACCCCTTGATTATGATATAATGCCCTTCTGCCTCTCTTGATACAGTCTTTATTTTAAAGTCTAGATTGTCTGATATAAGTATGGCTACTCTGGCTTTCTTTCGTTGACCATTAGCATGATAGATGGTTCTCCATCCCCTTATTTTCAATCTGTAGGTGTCTTTAGGTCTAAAGTGGGTCTCTTGTAAACAGCATGGAGATGGGTCTTATTTTCTTATCCATTCTGTTAGCCCATGTCTGTTGATTGGAGCATTGAAACCATTGACATTTAGAGTCAGTACTGAAAGATATGACTTTACTGCCATTATGATGCTTATAGAGTTGGAGTTTCTGGTGGTGTTCTCTGGTCCTTTCTAATCTTTTGTTGCTTTTGATATATATATATATATATATATATATATATATATATATATATATATATTCATCTTTTGTCCCCTCAGAGAGTCCCCCTTAATATTTCTTGCAGAGCTGGTTTAGTGGTCACAAACTCCTTTAATTTTTGTTTGTCTGGGAAAATTTTTATCTCTCCTTCTATTTTGAATGACAGCCTTACTGCATAAAGAATTCTTGGCTGCATATTTTTTTGATTCAGCACACTGAATATATCCCACCACTCCTTTCTGGCCTGCCAAGTTTCTGTGGCTAGGTCTGCTGCCAACCGATCTGTCTTTCCTTGTAGGTTAGGGACTTTTTTTCCCTTGCTGCTTTCATGATTCTCTCCTGGCCTGAGTATTTTGTGAATTTGACTATGATATGCCTTATTGATGGTCAGTTTTTGTTGAATCTAATGGGGGTCCTCTGTGCTTCCTGGATTTTGATGTCTGTATCTTTCCCCAGGTTAGGAAAGTTTTCCGCTATGATTTGCTCACATAACCCTTCTACCCCTATTTCTCTCTCTTCCTCCTCTGGGACTCCTATGATTCTGATGTACCTTTTTAATGAGTCACTGATTTTTCTAATTCTTAAATTGTGCTCTTTTGCCTTAATCTCCCTCTTTTTCTCTGCTTCGTTATTCTCTGAAAGTTTGTCCTCTATATCACTGATTCTCTGTTCTGCCTCATCCATCCTTGCTGCTGCTGCATCCATCCCTGATTGCAGCTCAGTTATAGCATTTTTAATTTCATTCTGGTTATTTTTTACTTCTTTTATCTCTGCAGGAAGGGATTCTAATCTATTTTTGACTCCAGCTAGTATTCTTATTATTGTGATTCTAAATTCTGTTCAGACATCTTGCTTGTGTCTGTGTTGGTTAAATCCCTGGCTGTTGTTTCTTCATGCGCTTTCTTTTGGGGTGAATTCCTTCGTTTTGTCATTTTGAAGGGAGAAAAGGAATTAATGATGTAGAAAATTGAAATTAAAAAAATTAAAATAAAAAAATACTAAAATTAAAAACACACCCACACAAAAATCGAATAGATAATGCTATATCCTAGGTGTGTTTTGGTTTGGGTGTATAAAGTGGTTTGACAGATTAGAGAAACAAACAAAAAAAAGTTGGGGGGAGAGAGAAAAAGAAAAAAAGGAAATCATTTGAGAATTTGAAAAAATGAATACACTAAAGTAGACTAAAATACACAAAAGTAGAGGTGAACATACTGTGGTAGACTGAAATAAAATGAGGGAAGTAAGATAGAATTTGAAAAAAATTATAAAAAAGCAAAAAATATAGTAATAAAAATTAAATGAAAATATTTTTAAAAGAAATTTAAAGTAAAAATGAAGTTTTTCTCTTTCTGCATTCAAGAAAAAGAAAAAGGAAAAAGGGAAAAAAAGAAAAAGAAAGAAAAAAGGAAATTGTTTGAAAATTTGAAAAGGTGAGTACACTGAAGTAGACTAAAATAAAATGATGGAAGTAAAGTAGAATTTGAAAATTTTACACAAAAGTAAAAAATATAGTAATAAAAATTAAAGACATATTTTTAATAAAAATTGAAAATAAAAATGATTTTTTTCTCTTTCTGTATTCAAGAAAAAGAAAAGAATTGTATAAGAGAAAAAGGAAAAAGAGAGAAAGAAAAATTGAATAGATGAACCTGCTTACAGATTGAAGTAGGACTGAAATTGCTTTGTTTTCCCCTAGAGGTCAGTCCATGTAGCTCTTTATAGTCCTTAGATTAAGCCAGCGGTGAGGTTTGTGTTGTGAAGAGCAAAGTTGGCCCAGTTGGGCAGGGCTCAGTGTAACAGCTCCGCTCTCCCCTAGATGGCGCTGCTAGCCTACTGGGGTGGATTGTTATGGTGCTGCTTGGTGGGTATATGCATGCGTGGGAGCAGTGAAAATGACACCACCCAGCTACCCAGTCTGTTCTCCCAGATCAGTAGTTACGCACCAGTCCTCCCTCTTCAGCTCTCATCCACTCCCTGCTTTTCCACTCTCCATGACCAGGCCCCAGGTAGTACCTCTCTCCCAAGTTTTGTCTCAGATGTGGCTGTTTTCCCTGGCCCCTTACTTCTTTTTTTTTTTTTAACGTTTATTTATTATTTTTGGGACAGAGAGAGACAGAGCATGAACGGGGGAGGGGCAGAGAGAGAGGGAGACACAGAATCGGAAACAGGCTCCAGGCTCTGAGCCATCAGCCCAGAGCCCGACGCGGGGCCGAACTCACGGACCGCGAGATCGTGACCTGGCTCAAGTCGGAGGCTTAACCGACTGTGCCACCCAGGCGCCCCTGGCCCCTTACTTCTGAAGGATTGCGGCTTTGACCCGCTCCGCCCCTCTGTGGGAGGATCTCACTGAGCAATGGCCTAATGAGCAATGCCCAAATATTGGCTGTACCCAGGAATGCCTGCTGGATCCTGCTGTTGTGGGTGCCCCGAGACTGCAGCCAGGTGACAGCCTGCCCCCCCCCCCAAAAACAATCGTGAGACAGTGTACCCTCAGCATTTCAGGGACCTTGGAAAATCGCAACACACATCTGGCACCAGGCTTCACCCTTAACGACCTTGCCCCAGCAGTAGCGAATGTGTCTGCCTTCCGGGGTCTACTGGGACCAGGTGGCTTCAACATTCTCTACCAAATGTCCTTCCAGCAGTGGAACCACTTTTCCCCGTGTGGCCCAAGAACCTCCCAAACCCCACTCTGTTCCTGGGGATTCACTTTTCCTACCAGAGCACTGCCAGGTATAGAGGTGCAGAGTTGCAGCCTTTGCACTCCCCTTGTTTACAATCTTAATGGAATTTAAACCCTCTCCTTTCTCCTTTCTCCCTTTTTAGATTAGTCCCTGCAGCTGCTTCCAATTTCCACTTTCTTTCTTTTGGGGAGGGGTGCTTTTCCCGTATGCTCCTCCCCTCCCCAGTCTGTGTCCTCTCTCCGCCTGCAAAAGGGGTTCCCTACCTTTTGGGGCTTCTTGCCCCCCAAGTTCAGCTCTTCGTGTCATGTACCTGCTGAATTCTGTGGTTTAGGTTGTGGAGATTGTTGTGTTAATCTTCCAATCGGTTTTCCTAGGTGTGTAGGATGGTTTATTGTTGGTCTGGCTGTATTTAATGGATGCGAGACACAAAAAGCTTCCATGCTGTTCTGCCATTTTGGCTCCTCCCCCAGAAAAGGCTTTGTATAGGAGGTAAAGTTTGAGCTGAAAAGCTTATTCCTGCTGGTTATTTAAAAAAAAAAAAAAAAAGCCCTTTAATGTGGCCAGGATGAACTTCAGCATATGAAGCCCATATGCTATATTGATTCTAATGCAAGATCAGCTAACAATCTCTATGCCTTCTTTACATAGGTGTGAGTGGGAAGGTTCTGAAGCATGACATAATTCACTCCTTCTTCCACACCTCATTTAATGGGCATTAATGGTTTTGCTTTTTATTTTTTTCAAATATCCACTTACTGTAAATATTTGGGAAGTAGCCGTCTATGAAAGTAGGTACATAAAAGCCGAAACTAGTCTGAATAGTGAGAATATCCACCACTTGTTAGTTATATGGTGACAATTTATGTCAGTTTTTTACAATTGTTTCATTTGTAAATTTGGTGAAAACATATTCCCAGATACTTATGTGTCATGAATAAGGCAATAAAAGATCATATCTTTGTTATATTTAATATTTCATAGATGTGAAAACATTCATATGATAAAATGTATGCTTTCATCATTTTCAAATAATGGCTTTTCTTCCCCAAAATATTAAGATGATTACCATAAAAGTGGTAGAAGAATATAGCTGATATTTTAATAAATTCTTAAAGGCTGGTTATGGACCAGCGTGACAGTTTAGTATTCCTGGGAGTCTTGAGTACAAGGGAAGTCTGCTCTTTCTCACCAGCTCTTTTGTGTGTGCATCTGCCAGGTGCTCATGAGGAAGACTGGGGCAGGGCAGGACCTGAAAGAGTCCTGTTAGTGGCACAGTCATGCAGGACCTGCCAAGTGTGAGTGGAGGAGTACTTGGAGATGTCCATCTGTGTACTATGGGTTCTGTAAGAACACAAGGTGTTGATTGGCTACCACTTGGGAATAGAAACACTGAAAAACCCTACCACTGAGGCCCTTGTATGCAGGGCCTACAAGATTGAGGCAAAAGCAGTAGAACCAAGAAAGCACTGCTCTTACTACAAGTAACAAACAATAGCAGTCTTTCACCAAGAGAGAGGAAAAAGCATAGAGAGAAACCACCTATGTGGCATAGGCTTGCAGACCCACAGAAAGCCAAGGGTGGAACAGGAAAACTTCTACCACTCTGTAACTTGCATCAAGCTTAAGGCAATACTGCCCCACCACTAGAGGAAGCCCAAACCCAGGCCAGCTATAGGTTAGATTTACTCAAGTCTTTCCCTCAAATTATATGACAGAAAAAAAGGTTGGCCATTGCCAGGCATAAATTTTATTTACCTAGCTTTAATTGACATTCCACTCACAATGTCTGGCATTTATTTAAACATTATGAGACATACAAATCAAGAGAAAAAAAAGACCTATATTCAGGAAATAAAAGCATGAATAGAACCGGAATTGGAGATGGCCCAGAGATTGACTCTCAGGCAGGGAGCTTCAAATAACTGATTAACCTGTTGAAGAAATTTAGTAGTGAAAAAGATGACAGCATGCATGAAAAGATGGATGGATTTCAGAATAAAGAAGTAAAATATCAAAAAGATTCAAATGGAAATGTTAGAAAAAAATATATGAAGAAATCACTTCAACAGGCTTATCAGCAGGATGGATACAATACTGGAAAGAATCAGTAAATTTGAAGACAGTTCAATAAAATTATCCAAACTAAAACACAAAGAGGAAAAAAGAGTGCAAAGCAAACAGAAGCATCTGAGTTGTAAAACAATACCAAATGGTTTGATATACCCATAATTGGAATTTCAGAAAGAGGAGAGACAATGTGGCAGAAGAAATATTTGAATAAAGACCAAGACTTTTTCAAATATAATGAAATATAATAAGTCAGAATTGCAGAAGCCTCAGAGAAACCCAAGAAGCAGGATAAATACAGTCAAATTTATTTTAAAGAGATTTAAAAAATTAAAGTCTGTTATATTTACGCACATTGTTACCATGTCTAGCCACTGCTTTCTCTTCCTCCTGCTTCTCCTCCTCCTCCTCTTCCTTCTCTCCTTCCTCCTTCATTGGTGTGTGTGTGTGTGTGTGTGTTTATGTGGGCACGCATGCGCACACATGCGTGTCTGTCACAGTTTAAGAAAAGAAGTCTGCCTAATTTTCTCATTTGTTTCTTAGTGTATTATAATGCCTTTTTTCTCTGACTTCAAGATTTTCTTTTTTCTTTTTCTTTGTTTTTTAGCTACTTGACGATAAATTGTGAAATTGTGTTTTTCTTCATATTTATCCAGAAAATTTAAAGTTAATTATCACTTCCCAAGTGATAATGAGACCAGCATTATCCTGATAGCAAAACCAAATACACTTAAAAACCTCCAAAACTGTAGGCTAATATCCCTGATAAGCATGAGAAGAAAAAATGTAAAAAAAGAAATTAACAAATCGAATCAGAATTTTAGTTTTTAAAAGAACACTAAATCATGACTAAGTGGGATTTACTCTAGTAATTCAAGGTTGGTTCATCATTTCAAAAGCAATCTGCATTTTATAGTTGCAATATACTAAAGAAAATACAAGCTATGCGATCATCTTATTAAATGCAGAAAGGACATTTGACAAAATTCAATATAACTTTAAGATAAAAACTAAGTGAACTAGATATATGACTATCTGGATTGTTTATTTCTTTGTGAGTAAATCTTGTTACTTTTTTCTTTCAAGGAATTTGTTCATTTAATCTATGTTTTTTAATTTATGTCATGAAACCATTCAAAATATTCTCTTCTTTAATGTCAGAAAAATCTCTAGTTATGACCTTTCTTTCCATTATGACATTGGTAAATTGTGCTGTCTCTTGTTCTTCCTCAGCCTAGCTAGAGATTTATCAAATTTATTGAAACTTTGACAAGAAGTAGCTATTAGTTTCACTGTTTTTATCTTTTTTTTTCTCTATTTCAATTTTAATAATTTCTACTTGTTCCTGTTATTTGTTTCCATGTCTTACTTTGGAGTTAATTTGCTCTTCTTGTTTTCAGATTTTTATTATTTTTATTATTTTGTTTAGAGAGAAAGAGAGAGGGAGAGAGAGAGAGAGAGAGAGAGAGAGAGAGAGAGAGAGAGAGAGATGCAAGCTGAGGAGAGGGGCAGAGGGGGAGAGAGAGAGTCTTGAGCAGACTCCACACTCAGCATGATGCCTGATGTGGGTCTTGATCCTACAACCCTGGGATCATGACCTGAGCCAAAATCAAGAGTGGGATGCTAAATCAACTGAGGCATACAGGCATCCTGTTGATAAATTTTTAAGGCTGAAATTCAGACCATTGATATAAGACAATTGTTCTTGTCTTAATATCAGCATTTATGCCATAGATTTTCATCTAAGCCCTGTTTGAGTAGCTTCACACTAAGCTATAACATATGACATGTTATGTTGTTATTTTATCTAGTTTAAAATATTTCATAACCTCCCCCTGGAAGGGGTCTTCTTTGACCCATAGATTATTTAGAAGTGTGTTGTTTAATTTTCAAATATTTTAGAATTTTTCAGAGAACATTTTGTTAATATTCCTGGTTTAATTCTTTGTGTTCCCAGAACACCCTTTGAATAATTGCATACTTTTTAAATTTGCTAAGATTTGTTTTAGCTATATCTTGGTGATTATTTCATGTGTACTTGGAAAAAAATGTATATTTTGCTTTATGGGGGTATATTGGTTTATACATGTCAATTATGTCACGTTGATCAATAACATTCCAATCTTCTATACTCTTACTGATTCTCTCTTTACTTGTCCTATCAATCACTGAAAGAGAGTTCAAGTCTACAATTATAATTATGGATTTGCCTCTTTTTCCTTTCAGTTCTAGCAGTTTTTGCTTTATAATGTGCTTACACATTATGATCATAATATCATCTTCATGAATTGACCCATTTTTCATTATGAAATGTTCCTATTTATCTCTAGTAATATTTCTCACTCTGGTATCTACTTTGTCTGATATTAACACAGACACTCTGGGTTTCTCTTGGTTAGTGTTTTAATGCTATATACTTTTTCATTCTTGTACATTTAATCTAATTCTATCTTTATGTTTAAACTTAGCTTCTTGTAGATGGCATGTAGTTAGTTCTTGTTTTCTTTATCAAGTCTAAAAATCTCTGAGTGGCATCTCCTTTCATTGAGATGTTTGAATCATTTATAGTTAATGTGTATATATATATATATGTGTGTGTATAATGTATATATATATTGATATATTTAGGTTTAAATGTACTATCTTTCTGTTTGTTTCATTCCTGAGCTTCCAAGTATTGGGGTATGTATGTAAAATTGGCTACAGGGATTGCATGTGTAATTTTGCTCCAACACTCTGTGTATGTCAGTATTCAGAGAGAAAGTTCACTATGAGAACTTCATTTTGTTGATACTTTAGAAGGGCAGGATTTCATATTATTATTTATGCTCCCTGCAGTACCTAGCACAGCATTCTACATATTTTAAAGCTCAGTGATATTTGTTGATATTCAATATTTTTGTTTCTTTTTGATTACATATTTCTTTTTCCCTCTAGTCCTTTTAAAAAAAAGGCATATTAGGGGTGCCTCAGTGTCTTAGTTGGTTGAGTGTGCGACTCCTGATTTTAGCTCAGGTCATGATCTCACAGTTCATAGGTTTGGGCCCTGTGTCTGGCTCTGTGCTGACAACTTGGAGGCTGCTTGGGAATCTCTCTCTGCCTCTCTCTCTGCCCCTCCCCAACTCACACTCTCTCTCTTTCTCTCTCACTTTCTCAAAATAAATACATAAACATTAAAAAAAAGGCAAATTATTTGAAATGGTGAAATATAATATTAGAACCATGGAACAAAAAATGAACAGAAACTTAAGAGAGAAGACTTTGTTGGGTTCCATTGTGAAGAATA